AGGAGGAGGAGGAGGAGGAGGAGGAGGAGGAGAAGGAGGAGAAGCAAGAGGAGGAGGAGGAGGACTGTCTTCAGATACTACACTTCTTCCTTTTGTTTCATTGGTACATTTGCCACCATATGTTACAATTGGTTCCCCGATATTGAAACTTCTGAACTTGTTTGATCTTTTAACGCGTATGGAGAATCTACACTACTATTATTAACAATCACACACCTCTGTGCAGGCAGACACATTAAGACAATCACACTTTCGTCAGAAACAATGACGCACCTCTGCAGACAGATGTACGCGTTCAGAGATTTACATTTACGCTGGCCTCACTGACTTACCTCTGTGTAGACATCCATCCAAGAGTTGCCAGACTCCACAGTGATCTCCCCTGCAGGGTTTCGGGAAGAGTTCAGATTGACAGTCCTCTTAGTCATGCCCTTGAAATTAATCTGAGGAAAGTAAAGAGGGCATGCCAATAGTTCAGGTGGTAGTGCGCTGGACTGTTGAGCGGCTGACTCTGGTTCGCATTCTCAGATATAATTGTTCTTGGATTGGGTTCTTTGGCAGGATTTTCATGGTAACTTACCAACTATAGCTTGTTCACTTTCGTCTGACCGCGGTTGAAACAATTTCAATGAATATCGCTATGTTTAATCTTCTCCGATCTTTGCATACGGGTCTAAAAGTTGGATGACCAACATAATCTGAAAGCCAATTCACAAAGGTCACTGGGAACTAAGATTCTGACGCGTTTTCTGTGATGTTAGCCTAAAGTTGGTAAAAAAAAAAAAAGGTTGACTTACATTCATCAACACCACACTTTAACATAGGCCCAAGGAACACGTTCCAAAAGACAGGGTAAGTAATTTTTGAGACTCACGAGGAGACGTCAAGGCAGCTGGGGGGTGGAATCTACAAGCTTACACTGAAATGCTGGGGCAGGGCGGTGTCGCTGTCTCAAAATGAGCAATTTGTAGGCAAGGTTACCGTAAGTGCCGGAGATTAAGGGTGTTACTAGAAGGTTAAATACGAAGAAAAGAAGCAAGAAAGAAGAGGACGATAGATGTTTCATAGGAAAGTGGGTGTAGACCACACCCAAGCTCCAACCACCCATATTAATTTAGTTACTCCTCTTTGAGTACTGTAGAAGTGATGGCATGTTTTTACTCAAACAATAAATATCAGATTTCTGCGACACAGGGCTATATACACAGTCGCCTTATTTATAACCACTTACACAATCAGTGCTAGGAATACTGTGGAGGAAAGGTAAGACCTGCAAGTCAAATAAACAGAGATAAGACATGCACTGATCTAGAGCGTTTAGTGTGAAGGTCACTGCTCTGTGATAAAAAAATGTCTGGAATCTAAGCGTGCACGTCAAATCCAATATCGCTGTTATAATGTTGTCTGTAGATAGGATCGGTGACTGCGGCTGTAATGGTAAGGTTCTTCGCCTCTCAAGGAGAGGGTGCGAGTTGGATTCCCTTGGAGGGAATACATTTTATTTTGACTGAGTACGGTATCTCCATTAAGTTAATTGGCCCCCACCTTTCAGTGCTTTGTGTTCTGTTGGAACTGAACTCATCCCAAAGTTTTTGTCCAACACCTAACTCCTTGACTAAGCCATCCTGTGATGTGTCTGCTTTCAGTCAGACTTCAACCCTCCTCCTCCTCAACCCCCCTTCCCTCCCAACTGCCCTCCTTCTCAACTCTAAAGACAAACAAACCCTACAACAAAAACAAAAAACAACACAATATAATCAACAAAATGAACAAAAGCACCCACCCTCACTCCTTACCCCGCAACCACATAGGCAAACAAACCAACAGAGGACACTCCAACAACAACAAACAAAAAGGAAAAAAAAGACGAAACCAAACACTAACCTGTATAGAACCATCAAAAGTAGAGCGTCCTATGTACGAGTGGCCCGACGACTGTATGGTGACCATCAGGTTGTACTTTTTGGCAAACAGCATCGTCTCCACCACGTCCTGGTCACTAGCCACCAGAACGATGACATAAGGAAGTTTCGTCACCCGGATGTTCCTCATCAGCGCCAGCGAGGAGAAATTTGCGTCAATGGGAGTCACGATTTTTCCGTCCAGTTTTGAGCCTAAGATGTTGAAGGCGGTAGCGTCTGGGAAGTTGATCATTCCCGGCCAAGTGCGGGTCAGCGCTGCTTTGGGCTGTCTGGGAAGAGTGGAGAAAATAATAACCAATACGGCTGATAACGAACTCGTGTGCGACCCTCAATAATGAAAACAATTTGGAAGTTCTCAGAAGACTTGAATAGGCGTAAAAGCCTTGGACACTCTGCTTTCCCTGGGAAAAAAAGAAGGCAGACCGGTACGATGGATACCAGGAAAAACTTACTGAGTGAACTTACATTGATTTGGGACTGGAAAACAAAAGTGGGAAAATTTGTGGTGAAACCAGGCTCTCGTCGAAATAATGCAATCTAAGAAATTAGCATTTTTCCATTCGTTGCGCATTTTTTCTCTTTTTTCTTTTTGACTCAACACCTTGTACGTCCATTTAAAACATTCTGAGTGGATTTAACTGAAAAACGTTGGTTATAGGCGCAAAAAATTATAATTTTGCAGTTTCTAAACTTTGAAAATCACCAAAATCTAGCGGCCATACATTTTACGCGCCTTGAAACCTGTCGTCTCCACCTCCTTCAATCGCAAATATTTCGACTTTTTTCAAGATAGGTGGGTATTTTTTTCATCGAAAGTGAGACAAATGAACAAGCTTAACTCAATGAGGACGCCAATTCTAGTCATTCCACGCCGCTTGTAAACGCGTTGTTAGCGGTCATTTAGAGAGGAGCACAACTTCTTTATTTAATACAGTTGTTTTTTTTCCAATCCCATATACTCTTTATCTTAAACTCAAAAAGGCAGACAACAACATGCATACTATAAGACGTGCACATTCACGTTTATGTTTTGTTTAAGATGGTTAAAAGATGCCGCAACATCGCTTTGGTCTGCTGCTAGTCGGACATATTTGTCCGATATGTCCACAAGAGCTAAATATGATCCAATAATTCCATAAGCCAAAAACGTGACCAGCGCCTTATTCCACCGCGTTGTTTCAGACAAATATTTTTCGATAACTTCCGAGCAGAGAAATCAGGGTGATCCAAACAAACCGTACAACTTTTTTTGGTTAATATTTTCCTCCACACAGAAGTTTTGCGCTTCAAATTTGTACACAACATTTGGAAGTGAAAAAGAATTTGTTTGATATTCATTTTAGAAAAATTCACAAAATAGTTTTGTTTTACACAGCGCGTAAAAAATATTTATCAACTAAGGGGCAACTTTTGGTAGTTTGCGAATAATGAAAAAGAGACATGGGACATGAGCCAGAAGAATGGGACGAAACAAAAACATACCTTGGCAAAAAGACGTCGTCCTTGACTGGCTTGTCATCGTCATCAGTTCCATACATGACCGGGGGTTTGAAACCCGTCAGCCCATCTGGCAAAGCCAAAGTCGTTCGACAGACCACGAAGGTGAAGGTCAAAACGAAGGTACACAAACATCTGAGGGTTAACATGAAAGGCGCAAAAATCACAGTTGCAAGTGAATTATGTCCCCTTCGACACACTTCAGATCATTTAGAGCAGACATGGGTAAACTACGGCCCTCGGGCCAGGTCCAGCCCGCTTGAAGTTTCAGTGTGCCCCGAGAGTTGACCCAGTAATTTGCAATGAATGAGGCGTGGTGAGTTCATAATTAATATCTTTTCTAAAACCAACACATAAAC